GAAGCTTGCTAGTCTTGGTAGACCTTCAAGTTGCAAATACTTCAGCTTGCTGAGAATAATGCCATCCTTTACATCATCACCCAAGCATACCACAATTTCTTCTATCGTTTCACATTCTGTTACTTGCATTGTTTTGAGTTGCACCAAGCTTTTTGCAGTTGAGTATCTCACTAAATTGACAAGCCCATGACACTTGGATACTTCCAAAGTCTGCAAATTGTTGAAATGTACATTGGATGGCACTAAATTCTTCAATCTGCTACATTCTTGAACTTCTAGAGTTTTTAGGTTACTAAAAATTGATTCAGTTTGGGATTCTTCCTTCCAAAGATGTGTTAGCTCATGGAGTTTGGACAACCTTAGTTCGCATAATGGGGTGCGTCCACATATAGAAGGTTTTTTCTCAACACCAACTTCTTCACATTGGAATACTTCATTGAGGAAAGTATCCCTCACAACAAGCTTTTCAAGACTGGGCAAAGACTGGAAGAAAAAGGGCGGAAGAAAAGTTGATCTCTCAGGAAAACCGGTGAGTTCCACCACCTTTAGTTTGCCGAAATACTCTTCTGGATGTTGTCCATACCATATCTCCTTTATATTGCCATTCTGTAACAATTTCAATTCTTCTAGATTCGGAAATGTATCCTACAAAATTTAGATGAGTGAAAAACATGAAAATAAGGATACTCTAAATTTTCAACAAATCTGTAAGTCTTTGACAAATTTGCCCTTTCTAACTTGGGCACATTTAATTAAAAAAAAAAAACCTACTCTTTTACGTTCATTTCTAATTCAAAGAATCATACTTATTAACTCACAGAATATTCTTTTCAAAAATTATTTTATTAATTTATAGACTGCTATTTACCTAAATTGAAGAGGCAAAGTGAACTAATCCTGTACTAGTGTCCTTAACGAGTAATTTGAGAAATTGAACCCTAAAGAGAGAGAGAGAACCGCCGTGAGCAACCTCCAACCAACACTAATAGGGTTCCCTTTGCTAGCGAAGGTTGGTTCCCACTCTGAGCAACATTTGGTGAGACAATGAACCCTACCCTAGGTGCGTTTCTACAAATTTCCATGTAGACTTCGTGGTGAGATAGCAGAGCAACAAATTGGAAGTAGTATGAGGAAGTTCTTGAGGTGGATGAATTGTTTACTAAAGCAATGCGAGTCAAAATTCAGCTAGAAGTGAGTGCAATCCTTAGACGTTTTAAGAATGTGCAAGTCTTAGCCACAACAACAACTAGCTGGATCAAATACGAAGACTGCTTGAGCTCTGTTTTATTTATGGTGTATGGGGAATGTTATCTCTAAATGTGCATTAGGTTTTAGACTGACAGAGGTTGGGGAAAAAGTCTATCAACCTTATGGACCATGGCTAAGGGCATAGAATGAAAATTATTGAGGTCCAGAGACTTTTGAGGAGATAGTTCTATTTGATAATAAGCTCTTTACTCTGAAAGTTGGTCTCCTAGTCAATAGCAAACAAAAATCTGATTCTCCATTGGTAGGGGAGTCCTTAATTAGGAACCAAGACCACTGAGAGGCTGGAGTGGCTAAAAGGCAATTATGCAATGACAACCACCCAATCCATAAAGAGTAGACATCTACAGTTAAGGCTGTGGTGGAGACAAGCAAACAGATAGAGTTGGGGAGTGACTCCTCACAACAGTAGGAGTTGGAGTCTATTCTTGGGGATATTCCTCTTTGTCATCTAGCCAAAATGACAAATGGGAAGGTTCATGTTCTGCGGAAGACATGGAAAAGAATTGGTAGGGATTTGGTCTCATCACTGAGTAAGAAAAAAGAGAGGAAAAGGAAGAGGAAGTTGGCTTTGAGTGGATTTGAAGATGGAAGGGCATCTAAGGTTAGATTGCATGACTTAATTAAGTACCATAGTGGCAATGCAGGTAGATGTTTCTTCTGTTTTAGGACTAAGTGGTAAAATAGGTGTGATTATCAGCAACGTACACAAAGCTCTAATGTAATCTTTCTATGTCCTTACATATCACTATTGATGCCCAACATAATGTTAATATTTAGAGGTTTTCAGTACTTAACTGTCCTACTTGTCATGAACATTAGCTTTTTATGTTAGTATCATAGGTCCTTCCTAACTTGTTTTATATTTCTTGCATAGCATATATGATAGGATATAATTTGCATTGTAATTGATCCAATTATTAATACAACTATATTTTTATATAAAATAATGAGATGAAAGATGTGATGAATAGATTTGTAGAATTTTAATGAGCTTAATGACATGCAAGAGTGAACTATGTATCTTATGTGTTTAAATGAAGCACGCAGGAAGAATTCTTTATTTACTAATAATTGCAATGCTATGATTATTGTATTTAACATGCCAATGCCATCTTTTATGAGATGCACCTTGTTCTAATCATATGTGATGCTTATGTTAAATATAAGATTTAAGCTTAGTTATGTCGCTTATATAATAGTTATATTAGCTAAGAATGGGAGACATATTATATGCATAGAATTTATGATATGAGACCTAAGCTACTAAGGTAGGTAAAAACTTCTAAAGGACACAGAGTAAAGAAAGAAAGATTTCTAAAAGATACCTAAGCTGTTAAGCTAGGTAAGAATCCCTAATGTTAGCTAAGGCTGCTCCTCAAGTTAACTGGGGCTAGATTGAGTTATAAGACCTACGCTAATAGCTAGGGAACCCTCTTACAGTCAATTGCAGCTTATTTGAATTATTAGACCTCTGTGCATTGGGAAGAACCCTGTCTGGTCTATTGGTAAGGTGGGATGTACACCCAAGAGAAAAATCCATAGATAAAAATATATCCATTTGAATATTTAAACATGCATAAAGTTACCATGCTAGTTTAAATGTCTTAAAGTTTATGATTTTAGAAAAAGAAAACCTGATTTAATTGTCCTAATAGATGGAACAACTCGATGTAATTTATGAATTTTCTGTCATGTGAGATTAGTAAGCTTATACCTAGACTAAGCTAATTTGGTGACAATTAGATGGTTTAAATTCTGATTTTTAAGCTTATTAAAGATAATTGCTTGTTTTTGTTAATTTGATTAAAAATTTAGTTCTGACTATTAAATTATAAAAACTATACTTAACGGGCTTCATGGCTCAGGGTTGTTTTTCCAACCATTTCAGGTTAGCTTAAGAGGTATTAGTGGTCTGGAAGTCCAAAAGGCGCTACTTGTATATCTACCTTAAATTTTATTATTGCTCAAGGTTTTCTTGAATTCTATTCCTAGGAATTTGTAAACTTTTATAGCTATTAATTTCAAATGAAATTGTTCTACCATCCATACACATGTATATAATTTTTCTAACTAGTTATAAAACTACAAACGAGATATTCTTAGAGTAATTCTTTATAAATTAGTAAGCTTCTTATAGAAGTTCTAATTAAA